CGAAAATTTGTATCCGCACATACATACACACACATACACACACACACACACACACACACACACACATACATCCATTTTTTCTAAGGTATGCCAAAATGTTCAGAAACCTCTGAAACGTAAAGATATATAAAAATTTTCATTTTCGATTTTTTTGCGATTACTATAACTTACCCTACGGGAAGTTAATAAATAAATATAAAAAAAAATGATTCAAGAACAATTCGATTCCTATTGACAGCGAGATGTGCTGATTAGTTTTTAGCAAAGGCAGGTCAAGCCGTTACGAAGATACAAAGCAAAAATTGCAGAAATTGAAAACTCGGTGTTTGAGAGTACCGAGCATCCGATTAGAATGATTCAAATAACATTCGATTCGTATTGAAGAGTAGTAATTGAATATTATTCAAATGAGTTACTAAGACCAGTTCTTAATGTACCAGATACAGGAAGACTCAAAAAGACTTTTGGAACTGTCTTAGCTTCATTTAGAAAATCACATATTGGAGTGATTTCTATAAATTTTATTTTTTAAATAATATTAACCTTATTTTAATCTTATCATGACATTTATAAAAATATATTGCTTTAAATTCTATTTATAAAATAAATAAAAAAATGAATCTAGTAATCAGTAGAAAAAAAACATTTATCTTATTTTTTCCCCATCACTGTAAATAAAAGAGTTGCATCACTAAAATTATTTCGTAGTTTTTTTATATTATGAACAATTGATTTTATGTAGATCCGAAAAAATATTAGGCTCTTATTTCAATATGCAAATTGTCTTTAATTTTAGTAATAAAATAAAAAATTAGATTTCGCTTCTGCTGTAATTTAATTAACGGTTGATAATTATGGATTTTCCACTGAATTATAAACCGACATATGTATATTAAACTGTGTTCATTATTACGAATAACTGCTATACATAACGAATAGTATTACAAATTTAATCCAATTTAACAAAGTGCACGTTCCGATATAAACATGTCATTTCACTTAGCAACTGAATGGCATTTGCGTAATCTTCGTGCGTTCGTGATCTGAAGTTTACAATTTTATAGTTGTTTATTATGATTAGAACAAACTATCAAATCAATTGCATGATGAAAGATGTAAGATGGTCGTATAATTCAATTTTAAATTTTCCATTGTAGTGACATTGGTTTTCACTTGGAAATATAGATGACTATATCTTTCCAAGTGAAACCGGCATTCGACAGGCTGCATCGAATTAAAAATATATAATTATAGATTACAATATATATTAAAAAAAAATTAATATTTAAACTCATTGAACACAAATAAGCTAACCGTTGGGTTGCCTTCTGAAAAGCGACTTTGTAGTTGTTCAAAAAAAAACATCAGAATTGAGATATAGTAAAAGTATGAAAACAGGCCAACTGAACATCCTAATAGCCTAGCAACAAAATTGATAGTACAAATGCAATATAGAAGAATTGAAAAAAAATCCTAAGGTACAGAAACCTTCTAATAAGTCAAATTCCTATCTATATTTTATAATCACTGTAAGAAGCTCAAAAGTTACAAGAACAACCTGGTCCAAAATTACTATAGAGAATAGAAACTCTGTATCAAATAAATCAAGAATGAAAATTAGACAGACGTTGTTCCAAATACATTTTTGAAGGATAGAAATACTACAAAATTACACCTGCCAATGTGGAGAAAAACCAGAAACGTTGGACCATATCTTCTGGGAATGCAGAAGCTATAAGAGAATTATTCCTAAGATATTGCATATCACATAATAGTTCTCAGCAATATATAAAACAAAAATCATTTTTAATTATAAGGTTTGCACATTTTGATTATTTTTTGTTGGGGCTAAGGCAATGATTTGCAAAACTTTGTAATATTGTTTTGCTTCCTTAATTCAAACTGATACACAGCAGTCACATCAGTAAGGGGGCGTCCATTAATTACGTGACGTTTTTAGGGAGAGGGGGGGGGTGGATTTCACAAAAAAATCACGAAATATCACGTGGGGGACGGCGGGGTATAGTAAAATATCACGTGTATTTATTTTTTACCTGATTTTTTTTAAATCCATACATTTAAAGTCAATAGAAACCGCACAGTTCATTTTTAATTCTTCACTAAGATTTTTAAGATTAAATGTCACGTTTCAATGTTTGTAGAAGCAATTGAAGTGCATTGCTCTTCTGCAATGGAGTGGGAATGTGGATTTCATTTCAAATTGAGTCAAATTTTACCAAAAATCTATTTTATTCATAATAAAAATAAATAAGGTTGTTTTCATTCAATTAGTTTACATTCTCAAAAATACCGATAGCGGCGAAGAAGGCCAAGGCAATGAACGCGGGTTATGTCAAAGTTTTTTTTATAAGTTTAAAATGACGGCATTTACAAAGGATTTTGAGTTTAATACATATTGGAAACCGCGAATAACGATATTTTTAGCCGCGAATATAGGAATTGGATCGCAATTTTTTTGATCGTGAATAGTGAAAACGAATTATGAAGGAAGCGCGAATAAGAAACTTTTACTGTATAACTTTATTTATAATAATAAGATTAATTTATAAAGACATGAAATGTAAATTAAGTAGCAGCATAAAATGAAATAAATAAAAAAGAGCTGGTGAAGTAACAAGATTACTGGACGCAGTTCTTACATTTAGTTTTTGCAATTTATTAACATGTATTTAATGTCATATCTATAACTAAAATCTAGTGGGGTGCATGGCATCGTGCACTTCCCGTATCGTAATTAAAAATCTTGGTACGGAACCCAAAAAATTTTTCACAAAATGTGTACACATTATTAAAATCTCTATAAAATATCTGATAATTTGATGTTCATAATTCAAATTCAAATGACATTTTTTTAACTTATTATTATTTAAGCCCATAACCGCTTTGGGATCTGCCTACCCAAAAATTCAATCAGTTCTTCATCTTGTCAATACAAGTAAAATGTTTTTTGAATTATTAATCGCTCCGTTCTCTTAAAAACTGAGTTACCGTTTTGGCATTTTTTGCCCCCTATCTTCGGAACCTGCCTTTTAGCCTTCGCTAAAAACTAATCGACATGTCTCCTTATCAATACGAATCGAATGTTTTTTGAATTATTCAAATCGGTTGATCGGTGTTCCCGAAATCGTCGACGAAAATTGGTATCCGCACACACACACGTACATCCATTTTTTTTAAGGTATGCCAAAATGTTCAGAAGCCTTTGAAACGTCAAGATACATAAAAATTTTCATTTTCAATTTTGTGTGATTTTTATAACTTACCCTACGGGAAGTTAATAAGCAAATAATAAGAGAAATCTCAAGAGTACTTTTTCTCCATCAAATATTTCTAAAGTTAATTTTTAGCAACTATAATCAAGATGATAGTAAATTGAATATAAAGTACAAGTATGTTGCAGATTCATTGGAAAATCAATCAACATCTCCTTGTAAGTCGATAATAAACTTCTGATAAGAAGTGCAAAATTTTAAAATAAGTCTTGATTTCGTCATAGAGTTATGATATATGTGGTGTTAGAGCAGTATGGTACGTCATACGAAACAATATCATGTGATTGTGACGTTAAAATACATATGTCAAAAGTTTTGTAATTGCATGTTGTTATAAATTTAGAAAACAATTTCGCGAAAATTATTATGTGTTAATTATTATTAGATAACATGTTTAAAAATATTTTCTTTTGAGTGAATACAAAATAATAATAAAATGTTATATAATCTTTTTGCTAAAAATCACTCTGATATTACATATATTTTTGTTTTACTTTTAACATTAGTACGCGGCATAAATCATCACGTCATAGTTCATTTATGTTATTATTTTTGTATTACTGTTTTTATTTTATTTTAATTTTAACTTTTTTCATTTTATATTCAATTTATTGCATTTTTGGTATTTTTTTATCTTTTCTGCTCATATCAATTTTGTAAATAAGACATTAAAGTCTTGATTAACAAAAATAAATTGTAAAAAAAAATTATATAGAGATAAGATATGCAAAAAATATCATATATTGCAAACAAACATTTTTGTTGCTGTTGCAAATGATCAAATACTTCACACAAATATGTAAATCAGTATTTATATGTAAATCGACCAATTGCTTTGAATTACTTCTTATTACGGTCTTATTGAGAATCCAAGAAGTTTATTTAATTAAATACTATTAAATATGAATGAATTATAAACTGCATTAAATACTATTAAAAATCAAACCGGATTAATATATTAATGTAAGCATTAAGTTCCATGGAAAATTTAAATTCTATACATATGAATAGTTATGTATATGTGAAGTATTCGCTATACATAAATCTACACAAAGGCAAGCAAAGTTATTGAATTAATCAATAAATTTCTATAGCTTAAAGTGTAAACTATTCTATTAAAATTTGTTGTGCAGTAACAAATATTTATTGGTGTTTAATAATAATTAATTGATTATATATATACACGGTACGTTCTAGTAATATGTGATTATGATTACATGTTGCATGTATGCAATTATATTTTACCAGTGTTTTAATGACCAGATTGGAGTTAATTATAGTTCAGTTCAATTTTAGCAATTTAAAAAAAAATTACTTGCACATATATATATATATATATATATATATATATATATATATATATATATATACGTACGTGTACATTGGGCACTTTTAATTTGATGTTCAGTGGATTTGATTAAATAACAAGCTCAACCAACGCATGTCACAAATTTAGTAAACGAACGCATGTAATTGTATTTGCAATATATATATATATATATATATATATCATATTCTGAACTGTCACGTTCGTATCTAGGCATCCGACCGGTATATTATTTCATGCAAACGTATCACACATCGATTCACTATAAGCACCGCGCATGTATAAATCTGTAATTCTACTCCGAATGACATTTGTAAATTCGATTGTCACTCTGCACTTTGCACACAATAAAATTTGAATGAAATTTAAAAACAACTCACATCCAAGCTTTCGATCGTTGAAATCTTTCTAACAATTCACCGACTTTTTCGCACATTCTCCTCGTATAGGCAGTACTAACGGCCAAGGCATCCTGGTGAATCGTGCTAGGCCGAACTAAGGCAGTGTCAGACATGGCTTTACCTAGTAGCCTGTTCAGGTTTTTAGGCTTGTTAGGATAATCGTTCCTGTCGATTTTGTCCAGCATCTGTGAGATACCGAGTAACTGATCCACTTCGGTCCTGATACACATGTCTTGATTTGAATACTGCTTTTTAACACACGTAACTAGTCGAGTCGACTGTTTGCTGACCACGAATTCACTGATACTTTCCAGCTACTGGTGTATATATATTACGAACTATACTTTGCGTCGGTCCCCACCATGTCGCGTGCGTTTCTTAAAAATCTTTCCAGACGCAGTGCAACGAAAAAAGACCGGCTACAAAATATTCGAATACTCTTATATATGCTAAGGAACTACATAACCATATTAACACGGATGCCAGAATATACACCCACACACACTTATTTTTGTCCATACATAGATGCATGCAGTTATAATTTTGGGAAGTGATAAAGCATCTGTTAGCCAATTTGTTTATTTCCAATCGTTCACATTCTCTTAACTTTTCAAACTAAAGAATTAATGGAATCTTATGTCTCGAAAATATGCATTAATAAGTATAGTATCATAGAGATTTAAATAGTTAAAAATAGCAACCCAAAAGTAGTGGCGCATGGCATCGCGCAAATTGCTGGAACTTCCCGTACCAAAATTAAATTTTTTAAGAAAAATTAAAGAAAACCATTGATCTTTGAGATTTTTAAATTTTTTGAAAAAAATATCTTTTTCATAAATTTTAATTTTTTTATTCTTTGAAATATTTTGAAAATTTTGATCTTTTTTTTAAAGTAATGGCGATACGTTAGCTTCGTAAAAACAAAATATCGAAGCGCGTGGGCGCTGCGTCGCAGTATAAAGGATAAATATTGGCACGGAACCCGTTGAAATGCAAACGAAATTTTTTCCTATTATTAACATATCTACAAAATATGTGATAATTTGATTTGCATATGTCTAATAATTTTTTTTTTGTCGACCGTATGGCATTTTTCTTACATTTTTATTGGATCTCTGAAACCGCTAGACCTGCCTTTCAAAAAATTTTATCAGTTTTTCATTTCGTCAGTAAAAATAAAAAATCATTCAATTCAGACGCTATCTGTTCTCTCAAAAATTGAATTACTATTTGTGGCACTTTTTGTCCCATATCTTCGGAACGGCTGAACCTGTCTTTGCCAAAAACTAATCAGCATGTGTCCTTATCAATACGAATCGAATTTCAATTATTCAAATTGGTTGATCCGTGTTCTCGAAAACGTCGACGAAAACTTGTATCCGCACATACATACACACAAACACACCTGCATTTTTTCTAAAGTAAGCCAAAATGACCTTGTAAAATATATTTTTACCATGAAGTTACACCGCAATATATTATAACAAAATTTTTTTTATGATTAGGTTACTTAGAGTAGGGCATAAAGGTCCGTCGGTAAAAAGGTCTACTACCAATATCTCAAAAACAAGTAAATTTAGGACTTTTTAACAACAATTATTTGAAAGTAGAGCACAGATGTATAAACAACCATCACCTTGATTCTTACGACGTCGCTATAAGGAGATAAACGGCAATGTTTAAAAATTCATATCAAAAGCTATTTCTTTCATTTTTTTTGCTGTAAACACTGTTGTTCAGTTTACGAGATCTTAATATATTTTTTAAGTCTAGGTTTTTTAACTGTTTTATAAGATGTGTTGTTATCTTTAAGTTAGATTCAACAGTTTTTTTTATATAACCTTTATAAAATCCTATATGTGGGTGTGGTAAATAGGACTAACTGAACCTTTACAAAGATGTAAACAATAACTAGTGGTGTATGGCATCGTACCTTAAGGCAAATTACTGGAACTTACCGTATCGTAACGAAATGTTCGAGAAATATTAAAAATAGATTAATATAAATATTCTAACATTGTCTAATATTTATGAGAATTATATAAACTGAATTGCAAAGTTGAAATTATTTGTTTAAAGTATATTAGAACTTCAGTCAGAATTAAATTTAAAATCTGAATTATTTTCAATATACAAAAAAAAATTTTTTTGAAAAAAAAATTGAAAAAAATAAATTTGAAACAAAAAAAATGTTTCGTAAAATTCCTTTAAAATTAAAAATAAAACGTTGGATCCGTTTGCTCCCTCTCTGTTCCATTTTACCCCGCCTATGAGGTAATAAGGAGTAATAAGATGACAAATTTTAGCAAAATAGTGTTAAAACACATTTCTATAATTAGGTATGAACTGGGTATTTTACTGAATCAAATTTTCATTCAGTTCAGTTCAATTTGTTTGATACGTATTACGTGTTGTGATGTAGTTCATTTGGTTACTTAAAGTCAAATTGGACCTTTATGCCCCCCCCCTACTCTAAATGGCAACCAAGAAATCTTACTAGCGCACGATAAAGGTACCATACGAGAAAAGTATATTTTAAATAATATTCATTCTAAATGAAGCCGAAGTGCATTTATATTTAAATATCTACCACATTAAATTATTCATGCACATAAATTTTATTAATAATATGTTGTCAATATGATATAAATAACTTATTGTATTCCTTTTTATTTATATTACAGAACATTACAGCAATGAACTTTAGAATTAACGGCAATATTTCCCACAATAATCAGCAGCGTGTTGAACAAGCGTCGTGCATGATTGTCGTGTAATCGTAATGAATTAAATACTATCAATTGTCAGGGCTCTGGACAAAATTTAACATTTGAAATCTCAGTTGAGTAAAGCACAATTTTTTACAAAAATAATCCAAAGAAGTTAAACGAGTGATAAACTAGTGGTGCATGGCATCGAACCAAAAATTAAAATTTTTAAAAAAGATTGACATTTCTTTTAAAATTCTGAAAAAAATCGATATATGAAATTTTTAAAATTTTTGAAAAAAAATGACTTTTTTCAAAAATTTGATTTTTTTTATACTTTGAAATATTTTGGAAGTTTTGAACTCTTCTTCAAAGCAATCGTGATAGAAACAAAATATCGAAGCGCGTAGGCGCCGCGGCGCAGTATAACGGATAACATTGGTATGACCCCTTTTAAAAGTGAACAAAATTTATTATTATTTTATCTATAAAATATGTCATAATTTGATGTGCATATGTCTAATGATCATTTTTGTCCGCCACACACACACACTCACATTCATCGATTTTTTCTAAGGTATGCCAAAATGTTCAGAAGCCTTTGAAACGTAAAGATATATAAAAATTTTCATTTTCGATTTTTTTGCGATTACTATAACTTACCCTCCGGGAAGTTAAAAATTTGTTCGGTAAGCAATTTGCTATGTTTTTTAAAACTGCTTATTTAAGTCAGCATAAACCGCTGAATTTGGTAAATTTAATCTCTCAGCAATCTTTCGAGTTGGTATTTTTCGGTTTCTATCAACCAATGCCTTTTGTTAGCTTCCGAAAAAATATGCCCGATAGTGATTTGGCAAACTTTTAAATGTTTGCACATCTTTTTCATCAACATCGAACAATCTTCTAAACAAATATTAAATCATATTGTTTACTACTTTCCATATTTCAAAGGAAACCAACAAAAACTTACAGTGTGAAATCAATTTGAATTTTAGCCTTGCGAAGTAGAAATAGAAATTTAATTAAATCTCCTATCAGATAAACTTATTTTAGAAATTATTCAATGTAAGAACATGCTTGGTACTATTATTAATCAATTAATAAACAACAAATCATTGATATTTAAATTTGTTGAAATATTTTGACATCATTATTTGTGCACAAAACAAATATATAACCAGCAAATATACGCAGTAATCTCCTAAATCTGTCTTATATATTATTGGTGTTTTAAAAAGAACAAAATTTAAAAGTAGACTCTTCTGAGAATCCATAAGGGTAAAATGCGGCTTAAAGGTCCGCGGATAAAAATATCCACCACTAATATTTCAAATACAAGTTAAGAATTTTTTAACGACAATATTTTAAAGTAGAGAACAAAAGATGTATGACCAGCCATCACCTGATAAACGGGAATGTTTGAAAATCCATAACAAAAGTATTTTCTTTTGTTGTTAGTCATTTTGCTTGTGAGCACTATTGTTCATTTTACGAGATCTCAAGTAAACGTTAAATTCAACCGTTTTTTCTCTATATAATCTTAATAAAAACGTATATATAGATGAATATATGGTGAGAAAAATGAACCTTTACTCTGGCAAAGGTGAATATGAATAATAAATAAATAATTGAGTTAAATTAAAAAAATAATTAAATAATTATTTCTGACAAAATACCAGATCAAGGTAATATATGGTGTAATGTTTGTAAAAAATGTGCCCATAAAATTTTTATTTCGCATTGTTTAACTAATTATTCATTTAGTTTAGACAGTATAATTACTGAAAGTTAAAATCAACACCTTTGTCTCGATAGGTACCCTACATTAATTTAATCATTCATTGATTATACGTCAAAGATATATTGTCAAACGAAAAAAAAGAATAAAATACCAAAATTATTTATAAATGTTCTTCATGTATTCGTGGCTCTCTTATTATAAAACGATTGCGCTTCGCTTTAGGTGAATTGCAAAACGTAATTATTGCAATGTTTATATTTGTTGCAACAAATAATAAGTTATAATCATCATAGTTTTGTACACAGTAAATTAATCCCATGCTCTATTGATAAAGCATTTTTTATAAATCAATTGAAGCAAAATTAATAATTTGTTTTAATACAGAGAATGTTTACTAAAGTCAGTTGAAACAAAATTAAAACATTTGTTATAATGCACGAGTAGATCAATAATATAGTTTGCAATAACTAAATAAAAAGCATGTTTACTTTTATTTTCATCTATTTTCCGCTTTTGGAATTTTGCATTCGGCAATTTCCCCATTCATTACGCATTATTTCATAGAAGTATAATCCTATATAAAACTTTCAGATATCGGATAGATAGTTGTAATTTTATTATCCAGTAATTGTTAAAATTTAATTAAAACCTATACTTTTTGAAAACCCGGGAAAATCCGGAATAAATGATCTAAATCCGGAACAAATATTTCTTTTAGAAAAACCCGAGACACAAGATGGAAATCCGAGACGTATGGTCACCTTAATAATATCTTTGTTTTATTTAAGAAATTGTTAATCAATAGAACGACAGATTAGCCAAAAAAGACTAAAAGCCTATAGGCTCAAGAAGAGAATAACTTATAGGCTTAATAACAGAAACAAATAAGGTTCGATAAAATATTTTGCTAACAAAAGCATTT